TCGTTCTCTTTCTTGGGCCTAATCTTGATATCTTCCTATAGAGAATTTTGGATCCAACAGTCGTCTAATATTTTGAAACTTGGAAGAGTCTTTTTTTTGTTTGTTTTTTCTACAAACCTTCACAAAAGTTAATGTATTACTATGATAATATGTAACATAAATTGCAAAAAAAAAAAAAAAAGAAGGCCAAATAAAAGTAGAGCTCAAACGCCATTCAGCTTCAATGAAAATGAACTATTCCTTGATGCATCCATCATTCAAAGCATATTCGATATTCCACATAGAATTACACAAATACACATTTATTTTAAGATGGCATCAGATTACAATCAAGCACAAGATAATATTACATGTTTGTTGACAGATAAACATTGCTAAATAATAAACAAAACACTGTCGAACATCATTGATCCAACAGTCTGTAGAAGCCTAAAATTTCTGCAAAATACAAATAATAATGAAATAAATGCTATATGACAAAGTCCAAACATTAAAACAAATACAAGAGAATGCTTAATCTGAGAGTTCAATGACTAACTGTTAATATATATTTCTCTAATTCTCTCACTTCAGCTGCTGAGTCATCTCACCCAGCCGTTATCAAGATTGCCACGTGTCACTTTTATATTAGCTAAGCTATTGTACCTTTGCTTTTCATTCTCTATATATACAGTCTGTTGTAACCTTCTTTGTATGATTTGAAATACAATATTATGTTTCTTTATTTTTTCTTTCTTGGTCTCTCTGCTTGCGTCCTCCTGCGATCGCTCTCTTATGGTATCAGAGTAGGCGTTCTTGTGACTCAGCTCAGGGCTCGATTCTCTCTTCCATGGACACATCCTCTGCGTCCCTCGCTACTGCACCAGAAGATTAACAACATTTCGCCACCTCCTCTAATTCCCAACCCATCCCACAATTCAACTTTGCAATGAACTTAATCATCTTTCCATGAAAACTCAAACAATGTCTCAATACCTTCTCATTGTTAAATCCAAGGTTGGCGCTATCGCTTCTACTGGATCACCTCTTTATCCCGAAGATGTTATCTTCTACACCTTAAATGGTCTTCCTGCTCAATATCAATCTTTCAAAATGGCCATCCGCACAAATCTTCAACCCATAAGTATTGATACCTTGTATACTATACTTTGTAGTGAAGAACAAAATCTTGCTCAAGAAGCGACAAACGAACTCCAAAACCTTCATATCTCCGAACTAGCCGTGGCTCTTGTCGCTCCCCGTGGGCGTATTCACGGTCGTAATCCTTCAAGTTGTGGACATCCAACTTCTTCAAACCGATCCTCTTGGTCTTCCCATCACCACCTCGACAAATCTATCTCAAATCCTATAAATTGCCAAATATGCTCCAATTATGATCACTCAGTCTTACGATGATGGTACCATCATGATCCTTCATATACAAAAGAATCCCATAAAACTGCTCTAATCTCTCCTTCCAAATCCAATGCCTCTCCCGATTGGTACCAGGAAGTGGAGCATCTACGCATCTCACCTTAGATTCTTCTCAGCTTCACTCTATGAAGACGTATGCCAGACCCCATCAAATCACCCTAGGTAACGGTCATCAACTGCTCATGCAACATTGAGGTAAAGGAATTCTACCTACTCCTCAAGGTAATCTCAATCTTCACAATCTTTATTATGTTCTAAATCTATCATTTAATCTTATATCCATTCACCGCCTTGCTTTTGATAATAACTGCATTGTCAAATTCTCTCCTCATGACATGAGTTTCAAATACAGGATTCGAAGACGGGTCATCTTCTACTCTAGGGACCTTGCCTTAATGGTTTGTATCCTATTTGGTCGACTATCACCAATCAACATCTCGCCCTACTGTTGGCTCAAGATGTTCCACATCTTTGCCATAAATGTATTGGTCACCTGGCCGCCGCACATTAAAACATCTGACAAATTACATCTCCTCTTTATGTACTACTGCTTATAGCTCTCATTGTAATTATTGTAGGCTGGTAAAAAGCCACCGATTACCGTTTAGTCAATCTACTTATTCCAGTTCATCAGTTCATTCTAACATTTGGGGTCCATCCCCAACTCTTTCCATGCATGGCTTTAAATTCTATTTCTCTTTCATCGATGATTTATCTAAATACTGATGGATCTATCCTATTATAAACAAATCCAAAGTAATCTCTAAATTTATCGAATTTAACAATATGATTACTCATCAATTTAATACTCATATTAAAATATTTTGCTTTGACTGCAGTGGTGAATTCATCAATCGTCAATTTCAAATGTTTTGTAAATAACAGGGAATAATTCATCAATACACTTGTCCTATAGTCCATCTCAAAATGGCGTCATCGAACGAAAGCACAGGCACATTATAGAAATTGTTCGTAGTTTACTCATTGAAGCCAATCTTCCTCAATCTTTATGGGATGCCTCCCTTCATATTGTTGTCTATCTCATCAATCGTTTGCCCACTCAAATCTTCACAATCGCAGTCCCCACTATATTATGTATCAAAAATCGCCTAACTACTACCATCTCAAGATTTTCGGTTGCTTGTGCTACCCATGGTTATGGCCTTACTCCACTAACAAACTTTCCCCTCTCTCCATACATTATGCATTCATATGCTATTCTACCTATCAAAAAGGGTATCGTTGCTTTAATCCTAAAACTGGGCAAGTATATATCTCTCGGCATGTTGAATTTAACGAATCTATATTTCCGTATCAACAAGCCACAGCTCACACTACACCTCATTCAACTCAAAACTTCATACTACCTCTCACACTTGTTCCTACTTCAACTCTCACTACTATACGACCCATCAATTCCAAACCTACCACTCAACAAAAATTTCGATGTTCTCCTAACCCCACTTCCACTCCTTCATCTTCTTCTATGCCCAATTACCAAAACAATTCACCTTCACCTGATCTGCATCCCGACCTAAACTTGCCCTTCACCATGGTCCCCACTCACCCAATGCAAACTAGACTAAAAACCGGTCATCTAAAGCCTAAAATTATTTGTAACCTTTCTTATCACAATCTATGCTGAAGCTGCTAAAGAGGAACACTGGCGCACCGTCATGTCTCAAGAATTCCAAGCACTTAAATCTTAAGGTACACGAGACCTTGTCCCTCCACAATCAAATCAAAACATTCTTGGCTGTAAACGAATGTTTCGCACTAAGTATATAGCTGACGATACTATGGCTCAGTATAAAGCTAGACTGGTTGCCCAGATTTTCAATCACGAATATGGACTGGACTATACCGAAGCATTCAGTCCTGTGGCTAAGATATATACCCACTTTTTGGGTTCTTCTTGTCATTACTCTTCACCACCATTGGCCCATTCATCAACTTGACGTATCAAATGCATTCCTTCATGGTCACCTAAATCACACTGTCTATATGAAACAGTCCATGGGCTTCACGGATACTATACATCCTACCTACGTGTGTCACTTGAAAAAGGCTCTCTAAGGTCTTAAGCAATCCCCACGAGAATGGTATGCTACTCTTTCCAGCTACCTACAAACTATAGGATTCCATTTTAGCTCATCCGATCCTTCACTTCTCATCTACAACAAAAATGGCATCTCCATGTATTTTATAGTCTACGTCGACGACATCCTCCTTACTGGAAATTGCAACAAAGCCATACAAACTCTTCTTCACAACCTCAACTCTAAATTTACCATGCGCGACCTTGGATCTCTCTATCAGTTTTTGGGCATCCAAGTGGTTCATACATCCTACGGTTTGCATCTAAATCAAAGTAGGTTCTCTCAAACTATACTATCTCGGGCGGGCATGCTAAACTGTAAACCGATTTCAACTCCTCAACTTAAAACATCTTCCACTCCTGCTAATTCTGGTGCTTTCTCTAATCCCACTTTATACCGTCAACATACGGGTTCACTTAAATACCTCACCTTAACTCGACATGATATCTCGTTTGCTGTCAACAAAGTTTGCCAACATATGCAAAATCCTTTAATTATTCACTTCGATGCCCTCAAACGCCTTATGCGGTATAGTCAAGGAACCTTGCATTTCGGTATACGTCTTTTTCGTAGTTCCCTCAACTTATGCTCTTATGTGGATTCTACTGATCGAAAATCTACTACCTGTTATTGTAATTTTTTGGGATATTCTATTATCTTATGGAGTGTTAAGAAACAAAATATTGTTTCTCGTTCATCCGCTGAAGCTGAGTACCGTGTTCTAGCTTCCACTGCTGTCGAAGTTATCTGGCTCTGTCGCCTACTTCAAGAATTCAACTGTCATCAGTCTTCAGCTACTCCTCTACTGTGTGACAACATATCCGCCATCATCATAGCCAACAATACAATATTCCATGCTCGTACAAAACATATTGAAGTGGATTGTCACTTCATTAGAAACTACATCAAAGACAAGGCAATTCAAGTTCACCACATCTCTACCAAAGACCAGCTCGCCGATCTTCTAACCAAACCACTCTCAATCTCACGATTTCAACTTTTATCACACAAACTGGTTACCTCTCCCGAAGTTATAGTTTGAGGGGGCCTGTTAATATATATTTCTCTCGCTTTAGCTGTGGAGTCATCTCACCCAGTCGTTAATAAGATTGCCACGTGACTTTTATATTAGCTAGGCTATTGTATCTTTGCTTTTCTTTCTCTATATATACAGTCTGTCGTAATCTTCTTTGTATGATTTGAAATACAATATTCAGTTTCTTTATTCTTTCTTTCTCGGTCTCCCTGCTTTCATCCTGCTTTGATCGCTCTCTTACTAACAACATAAGAAACAAAAGGCAAAAAAAATACCTGATCATGATTATGATGACGCATGGATCCTTAATCATAAGGTTGAAACTTTTTATAATTTAGCTGAATTCTACCAACATCTATGTTAGCTATCATTTGAAAGATTTCTTGAGAGAGAAGCATCGTAGCACCACCACAGTCATTGCAATGATCGACAACTGTAACTAATGCTCCAATAGTGTCTCCTATTTTGCTGCAGGGTTGTTGTTCACCTGAATTTAATGCATTAGGACAGTACACCTGATAATATTGCCCACATATATTGCCACCATCCCATAATTCATCATTCACAGATGCCAAATAAACTCCGTTTTTCTGATCACCGAAGCAAGCAGAAGCTGCAAATCATCAATGAAATAAATCATTTCTTACGAACAAATAAAATCTAAAATATAATATCATGTAAAAGACATCATTGGCACTTACGAAAATAAGGTTTAGAGTAGTAGGAGGCCTCTCCTGTCTTTAGATTATGTGCAATTGATGCAGGGCAAAGGAACATTAGACAAGCAAGAATAGTTATGTAATTTTCCATAATTAACAGTACCTTTTTTCCCTTTGGGAAAGCCAGACCCTTTCTAGGAGAAGATGCCTGTACTAATTTATAAGAAAATAATTTATAATAATTTTATTAAAAATAATAATCTTTTGATTTATTCCAATTCAGTACCAGACAACATGGAATACAAGTTTCCTTTGTAACGACATAATGATTTAAGAATTCTTCAACTTTATACTTAAAGTAAACATGCGATCACTTTTATAGAGTATGATCTTTTCATAAGCATCGAAAAATCCATAAAAAAAGGTAAATGATATTTGACGTCTAAAAATTCTAAGTTGAATAAGGCAGCCATGAGCTGTTTGTTGTGAATATGACTTGAAGGTGTAGATAAAATACCCTATCCCGAATGTGTTATAGGCAATTGATGTCCACTGCCAACCTGTACTTGAGAGAGTCCAGTATACGGTTGAGCTGACTGTAGTTGAGTTATATCGGATGTGAGGTGGTTAGAGGGTCCCGTATCTAGAAACCAGTCAGCATTGGAGGTTTCATCGTGAGCAACAAAGGCTTGCGGGTGCTGTGTTTGATAAACAAATTTCTCTCGATGCCAACAGGTGGAAGCAGAGTGTCCAGGTTTGAGACAAATTTGGCACTCAATGTGCGGAGAGGAGCGACGTCCACCTCCACGACCTGGTGCATTGGAGTTGCGACCTCCACGAACACGAGATCGCCCTCTACCGCGACCTCGAAATCGTCCACGAACAGCAGCTAAGGCAAACGAGGAGTCTGCTGCAGCATTGGAGGGTGTAAGATCAGTTAACTATTCATAGAGAACATTAACTTCTTCACTACATAGTAAAGAATAGAGTTCGTCCAAATCGTGAAATCGACAGGTTCTGCTCTAGTGCGAATGGCCGTTTTGAATGCATTATATGCGGAAGGCAAGCCATTAAGCGTGTATAGTATGATGTCCTCTGGATTTATAGTGCAACCAGGTATAGTATGCTGAATGGCATCAACCTTTTGTTTTATCTCTGTTAAATATTGCAGCATATTATGATCCTTCATCTTGATCTGATGTAACTCATTTTTAATTTGCAGAATGCGAGATCTGTTCGTCGTCTGGATACGTCTATCCAAGGTGGACCAGATTTCCTTGCAGGTAGCTAGGTTGAGCACATACGGTAAGATAGATGCTGAAATTGTAGAGAAAAGAGCTGATGACAAGTTCTGATCTATCATCATTCAGGTAGAATAAGCTGGATTTAGAGTTACAGTTTGATTTTGTCCTTGAATGTGCCTCATCGGTTTGGGTATGGAACCATCTAGGTATCCACTGAAACCATTAGCAGCAAAGAGCTTGCAAATCTGCTGGCGCCAAATAGGGTAGTTGTCCGCTACCAGTTGTGTATTGAGGACAGTCTTAACATTCGACATCAGGAACTTGAGTTCTGATGGAATGGTAGCATTGGTAGCCACTATTTGTGGCTGAGCTGATGAAGTAGAAGAGGATTCGTTGTTCGCCATTGCGATAGAATAGTACTCTGGACTTGTCCTGCTTACGACAAGCGCCTTCTTGGCTCTTATACCATGTTGACGCTAGCGAACTTCCTTCTTGAAGACTTGCACAGAGAATCTAAAGCAAACAGATAGAAGGAGCATTGTAAGGAAGGAGCTTACCTGCTCTCGTCCTGTTCATTCTCATATATAGTATAATGAGGCAAATACATCTAACGGTCCTGATTAGCTGGCAGACCATCAATGGCTTATAATAGTGCCGTACACATGTTTGTTAAAGCCAGGAGAAGTGGAGCAGGGAAATGAGGCGGTAATGCTAATAACATGTGATTTTTCCCTTAATCCAAGCCATTTCCCACATTATGTTTTTCTTGCGTTAAATTGAGAAATTAGACAAGCAAAATTGTTGTGAGAAAAGCCGAGTTTTTAAAAATTGGTATAAAAATTATAGTCTTTTTCTCTCTAGAAAAAATTGAATAGATGTTTTTTTAATGCTATACACTTGTACATTTGGAGATGATCTATCATTCTTCTTCGTGTTTTTTTTTTTCTTTTTGGTTTATGCTAGCTTATGCAAAAGCTTAGAAATTAATCCTTTGCTGAGGACTTGAAGAGTCAATCACTACCAAAACAAACAAATATGAGCTTGCCCAATTAGACGTTCATTCATATATTAAAGAGTCCATGATGAATATTTAGCTAAATGCCTTGACGTTCCTCTAGAGAGTTCAAATTTTGAGTTTTTGTAAATGGATCATAGTGATGATATTTATATACATTCTCTTTTGTAAGATTTTTTTTCCTGTCCTCCTTAATATTGATAATTCAAGCACGTATGAGTTGAAGTTACTTTCAACCATTGTTTGGGTGATTGCTTCTCTTCATTTGATCGTTAGGTTTTTGGTTCAAATATATTTTGGGATTATATTAGTCAATATTGTTTCTTTTTTCATCTTCTATAATTCTGCTAAATTTGTAATTTAATGTGATCGTCTGCTTGGATGTTTATATAATAGTGCTTGAGTTTCACAAAATGGTTTCATATATATATATATATATAATTATATATATATATATATATATATATATATATTGATAATATCATTGATATAGCATGTCATAACTTAATTTTAAAATTTATTATAATATTTTTTATTTATGTGCGCTTGATGCACGTGCATTTAGACTAGTATATATAAAAGAGAGTTGTAAGGGACATTAGAGCTTTTACATAAATATCTGAAAAAGGGAAAAATCATGAGCCTAGCCTTTTTTTTTTTTTTAATGTTTTCTTCTAATTTCTATCATCAATTACAAATGGTGCCCTTTTCCATGTTTGGGAAAGGGTTGAAATAAATGCTACATGAAAAAGTCCATTTTACATAAATTATGTAGAATAGATTTCTTGTTAGAATTTGGAAGAGCCCTATAGCATAGGACTTGTCTTCAAAAGATAGTTTGTAGTTTCTTTAATCGTTCTCTTTTGAGGTGTGGAAACTAGAGTCCATGAAGTTTGATATGTATCTTGGTGTTGACATCAAAACTTAGAGCTGGTGCCGATGGTGTGCATCAGCCTAATGAGTGATTTATTAGCATCACAAATTTTCTTCAAAATATAAATAACAAACAAATTAATGCTATATGATAAATTCCAAAGATTAAAACTAATACAAAAGATTAAAATCCTATAATTTTTTTAATCAAATATAGATATTATCACTCTTAGTTCTTCTCCCTCATTTCCTATTTCCTTCATTCCCCCAGCCTCAATTTTCATTTACAATATGTTATTCTTTGCAGCCTCAAAAAGTATCAAAAAGATTTTATGTTATTTTTCCTTGAAAGTTCTTGCATATATTATTGCATTATTATGATAATAATATTTAAAATAACATAATTCAAACCATATGCGACATTCATGAAGGAATACAAGAAAATTAATACACCATAACCAAGCATGATAACATATTACATCCTTACAATAAGTATGTATTCTATCATGATGATTTTTCATAACTAATCAGAATGCTTCCAGCTTGTATGTTGGCTATGTATGCAAAGGCTTCTTCAGAGAGAAGCATCGTAGAACCATTACAATCCTTACAATAATCAACAACTCTCACAGGTACTCCAATGGGTTTGCCCTTTTCTTTATTGTTACAGGGTAGTCGTACACCTTCATTTCTTGCTCCAAGACAATAGACCACATAAATCTGCCCACAGATACTACCATCTTGCCACAATCCTTTGTTTACGGATGCGAAGAAAACTCCTTTTTGTTCAAAATTATAGCAAGCAGATGCTGCAAGTCATCCAAAAATGATCATATTAATTAGAACAAAATGAAAAAAAAAAAAATTCATAGAAAATGTGATTGGCACTTACGAAAATAAGGTTGAATATAATAGGAGCTTACTCCTATCCTAAGTGCAGATGCAATTGATGCAAGAGAAAGAAACATTAACATAGGAAGAAAAACTGCAGGCTTCTTCATTATTACTGAGTTTTTTTATATGTTGGGTAGTAATTTTTGATGTTACAAGAGGGAAAAAGAGTATTACCCTTTTAAAGGAGAAAATGGATGTACAAATTTATATGAATATAATACATAATGATTTCGATAACAATAATATTTCTGATGGTGTCATATCATCAAGAATTCAATTCTAGACAACATGGAATACAAAATGATGATCTGTCTAAAATGATCATAAAAGTTAAATTTTTCTTACTAGGAAGCTGCTTCAATAAGCAATAAGAAAGCTGTCATAAACGAAGCCTAAGATTTTATTTGGGACTGCTTTTTTATTGCATCTTAAAATGACTTTTTGGTTTAAAAATTAAAATTTTTATATTAAAAAGTTGCTTTAAGAAGTAATAAGGAAGCAGTCCCAAACAAAGCCTAAGTCTTTATTGTGAGAATTGTCATGCAAATGAGTTTATGATGCATGTCTTAGGCTTTGTTTGAGATGATTTTTTTTACTTCTTTTTAAGATAATTTTTTAGGACAAAAATTAAAAATTTTGTACGATAAGACTTAGTGTTTATTAAAAAATAAAAATAATTTGTACATTCTTTGTCAAACTTAACACGTTTGTCGGAAGAAGTCTATGCCATTGATAAAAAGGATCTTGTAGTTGACTTTATAATACTATTTTGTCTTCTTGGTATATATAAATTAATAAGGATATGCCAGATAGATTAAAGTTTGGGATAGTTTTCTTAGTATTTTTTTATTGCAATATATTTTTTTAAAAGTAGCAAAAAAGTAGTGGCTAAAAGCTGTCCCAAAAAAGTCTTAGAAAGTATATACGTATTTAAGCTAAATAGAAGTGATCAAATAGATCAAAACTTGATCATCCTAAGCTAAAGCATACAAATGTAAGAATCATTGCATTGACAAAAACAAATAATTTCCTCCTTTATGGTTTATGACAATATAGTTTTCTCAATGATGCTATAATTAATCTATTATACACGGCAGGCTTCAATAGGATCCAATGCAAATCCCAACAAATGCCAAAGGAGATACTTATTTGAAAAATAAAAATGGCTCGAATTATTTTGATAAAAATAAATATAAATAAAAATTTTATGTGAAAGTAAAGCTTGAAAGCCTGTTCAAATTAGAGTACATTTGTAATGGTTGTAAGTTTTTGCAATGGTTATTATAAAGCTATAGTAGGACAAGTGAATTTTTTAAAAGTGCTGTAAAAAAGAATTTTCTAGCATAAAAATTGCGACGGAAAAGTAATAGCCAAACATAAACTATAGGCATTATGACGGTTTTGCAGTCAGCGTGAATGGTCACTAAATATTGAAAGAAAATTGAGTAGAGGTTTCTCTTTCAAGATTTAAAGGCTTCATTTGGGACGACTTTCTTACTGCTTCTTAAATAAACTTTTTAATTTTTGTACTAACAAACTGTTTTAAGAAGCAATAAAAAAACACCCCAAACCAAGCCTTTATTTTGCCAAATTAAAAACCTTAATCCTACATCTCCTATGAGACTAACAACGATCTCGCCACTCATGTTAAATTTTTTGGGATATTTTGGCTAATTAAGACAAACTCACACACACATCGCATACACAAGACTTGAACCCAAGACCTCTTAGGTTGCAGCCTAATCTCCCAATCAACAGACCATGATGAGCTGTGTTCCTCATGTTAAGTGACTAGTGACCTTGCAATTGGTGACATCTCCCATGCATCTCCCTCAATTGGCAATTGGATATATTATTGTATTACAAAAATTAATTTAAACGGGCTAAAATTTTATTCAAAATTTTTTTCTTGGAATAATCGAATCCAATTTGATTTTGTCAAATAATTATCTCTTTCATTCCGGATGTATTACAATCGTAAATTATTTGGCATCTCCTGAATAATTTCTTGGCACTGTAATGATTGCACTATGCTTCTCCCATGCACAAGAGGTTTTCTCAGCTTTGACAAACACACACGATTGCGTAATTCAAATTTAATTTTTGCAATCTAATGTTTAATTTAATCTAAAACTATTATTGTATTTCATGACAATTAATATTATGACTTAATTTATATCTCGTCCTCACAATCTTCAAAAGTTTTTTTTTTCTTTATGATTATTGTTTGCAGGAACTTTAAAATGGCAAAGAAATTAATGGCATGCAGAAGAAATCAAAATTATGTATTAATTTCCCGTTTCTATTTATCTACGTATATGTTTGTAAGATGTTATTTTTGAACTTGATTTGATGTTTTTGTTCAAAGAAATTTGTAATCTCTTTCTCACTATCAAAAAATAGGTCTATCACAGCACAAAATTAGACATTTTCCGGTAGTTTTACCCGCCACAAAATTTGTTATAGCGGTTTTAAAATCATTGCACGCTCGCTGTGATTGCAATGCGCTGCAACAACATTCCAAGACGGTTCCAGGACCGCTGGTTCGTACCAGTTTATTGCAACGGTTTTAACCGCCATAACATTACATAATTGCAGCGATCAGAACTGCCACTGTTAGCTCAAAAAAAGAAAAAAAATGATTCACAGAATTTATGTGGCGAATTAAACCGTCACAAATTTGTACTTTAACCTCCACAATAGCCCATAAATAAATAAAAAAAAAGGGAATTTGTAACATGCACTTCATTATGAAGACAAATGGCATATGCATGAATTGAGAGTATCAAAGGCATGCAGGCAAAGCATGTTCATTGAAATAAAAAGGCATATGCATGAATTTAAAGACCTCTTTTAAATATTATGCAAAGCTTTAATTGGCGAGGAATGGTGAAATCCTAATTTGAGCAATTGGGGATTTGGGGTCCTCATAACAATGAACTCTCCATCTTAATGAACACAGAAGCAAACATAAAAGTATCAAAGGACAAAAGGGCCTCCCCATCTCAACAGCACAAGCTCATGATAAATGTCACATATCATTCGCCGAATATTTCTGACTATTCTCTCACAAACTCCAATTTATTCTCTCTCCAACTACATTAATTACAACAATTTGCCGACGAAGCCTTTTTGTGTCA